CACCTGGGGGTACTGGGGGCTGAGTGTGCACCTGGGTGTACTGGGTGTGCACCTGGGTGTTCTGGGTGTGCACCTGGGGGTACTGGGTGCACACCTGGGGGTACTGGGGGCTGGGTGTGCACCTGGGGTGCGCCGATGGGCTGGGCAGATACCTGGCGTGTGGGAGAGCTGGTCTGCACTTGGGAGGCAGTTGCAGGCCAGGAGGGTTCTGAACAAAGAATGACAACATAGGTGCCCCTGGAAAATCTCTGAGTGGAGAGGGTGGGTCAGAGGCCAGGGGGCTGACTGGTGGCTTGGGGAGGCGTGGGGAGGTCTGTGGGCCGAGGCTGAGGGTAGGTGGGGAGGGATGAAAGCATGAGGAGCCCAGTGAGCACACACCGATCACTCCCTAGCGCCACCCCTGGGCGCTCACTGGGCCTCCACCGGAGCCTCCCGCTGCTCACACCTGGTGGGAGGAGACCTCCCTGGACTTGGGGAGAGAAATGCCATGCAGCAGGCATGCCACAGGTGGGACGGAGTCCCCACAGCAGGTGGGACGGAGGCCACCCAAAGGGGAGGGCTTGTCCATCCCCCTCCAAGATGTAGGCCCAGGAAGCTGCCCGCTGTCCACAGTCCAGGTGGCTCATGCCCAGGCCATTCTGCAGAGCAGCTTCCCCCTTCCCTAGACTCAGTTTTGGGTAGGAAAAGGGGGGTTAGATTTTAAAAGCCCCAGAGTAAAGTATGGCCTGTTGATGGTTGTCATGGGCCCCCTCCAGGGACCTGGCCCCAGACCCAGACCTGGGAGCAGAGGGGAATGAGGATGCAGGAAGTAGACCACACACAGAGCTGTCCCAACCCAAGCCGCCCACCCTCAATCTCACCTTTGAGAAAACTGGGATTTAAAAAGGTATTTCACTCTCTTTTTTCTTTCAAAAAACAACAGTGCCCTGCAGAATAGTATTGACTGTAAACTAACGGGAAGAACAGGCGCAGCGGCAGTGCGTGCAGCCAGGTCTCGGGGTGGAAGACAGGCACGGGGCGGGTGGGACGCGGCTGCTGGAAGCGCGGTTGCAGGCCAAATGGGACAGAGCCGCGAGTCCCAGGGTCGGCGAGGGCTCCACGCCCCGCGAGCCCGTTACACAGAGGTGCTCGCTCAGCAAGGCTGCATGTGGAGGAAAGGTCACCCTGGGGGCAGAGCCCGGGACGGGGTTGGAGCCTGAGAGGAGACCCCAGGGCACTGGTTGCTCCCTCGGCCGGGAGGACACAGTGCAGAGGCAGCTGCTGGGAGCCAGGCCGAGCCCTGGCACCTGGATCTGGGCCTCCAGAGTGCGAGACGTGTGCTGTGTGAGCGGCCCCGTCTGTGGGTTTGTCACAGCACCTGACCTGGCCGGCAGGTGAGTGGACGAGTGGGTGAATGGAAGTGAGGGAACCCTGAGAGCTAGTCCTGTGCCCGGTCCTGTTCTCCTTCCCACAGTGATTTAGCCCCCGAACAGCCCGGTGAGACAGGTCTGCCAGTGACTGTGTTTTATAGACTAAGGTACGGAGCGCTGAACACCTGCCCATGATCACCGAGCTCATACGGGCAGGCCTGTCTAGTGCTCAGCAGGGCCCGGTCTGCCCTGAGGGACATGTGGGAGCGTGTGCATGCTGATGAAACCGCCTGGGGACAGGTGTGTGTGTGTGTGCGCACATGTGTGTGCTCACTGATGGAGCCCACCTGGGGACAGGTGTGTGTGTGTGTGTGTGTTTCTGTGTGTGTGCTCACTGATGGAGCCCACCTGGGGACAGGTGTGTGTGTGTGTGTGTGCATGTGCATGTGTGCTCACTGATGGAGCCCACCTGGGGACAGGTGTGTGTGCGTGTGTGCATGTGCGTGTGTGTGCTCACTGATGGAGCCCACCTGGGGACAGGTGTGTGTGCGTGTGTGCATGTGCGTGTGTGTGCTCACTGATGGAGCCCACCTGGGGACAGGTGTGTGTGCGTGTGTGCATGTGCGTGTGTGTGCTCACTGATGGAGCCCACCTGGGGACAGGTGTGTGTGCGTGTGTGCATGTGCGTGTGTGTGCTCACTGATGGAGCCCACCTGGGGACAGGTGTGTGTGCGTGTGTGCATGTGCGTGTGTGTGCTCACTGATGGAGCCCACCTGGGGACAGGTGTGTGTGCGTGTGTGCATGTGCGTGTGTGTGCTCACTGATGGAGCCCACCTGGGGACAGGTGTGTGTGCGTGTGTGCATGTGCGTGTGTGTGCTCACTGATGGAGCCCACCTGGGGACAGGTGTGTGTGCGTGTGTGCATGTGCGTGTGTGTGCTCACTGATGGAGCCCACCTGGGGACAGGTGTGTGTGCGTGTGTGCATGTGCGTGTGTGTGCTCACTGATGGAGCCCACCTGGGGACAGGTGTGTGTGCGTGTGTGCATGTGCGTGTGTGTGCTCACTGATGGAGCCCACCTGGGGACAGGTGTGTGTGCGTGTGTGCATGTGCGTGTGTGTGCTCACTGATGGAGCCCACCTGGGGACAGGTGTGTGTG